TGTTCGTTGTTCGTACGAACATACGAACGAACAATCCGAACAATTCATTTTCTACGAACGAACGAACGAACGAAATATACATTGAAAACGAACGAACTATTCGTTCGTTGGTGTTCGTGGACAGCTATGGCATAACTATATTTACCGTAAACATCCCGGGCTAGCGCCTTCAAAAGCGGCGCACGTATTCAATAAATTCCGGTTCAAATGTAAACAAATGTCGGCCTGCAAACATTCTGGAAAGCCCTTTAAAACCGAATTCATGTCGATACCGTTTGTATATGTCCATGCATGTTGAAAATATTCTTCAAGGCGTTGTCTCAATGGGTTTGGTATCTAAATTGAAATTGATTGATAATTTAGTTTTGAATTGAAAAATGATTGTAAACGTTATGCCATCGAGTTGTGTTCAAATCGTTTTTCATAGTTTATTCGTAACACTTTGCAAGCATACGCGAGCGGAAATTAAATTTAACAATTGAAAAAAAAAAGAGAGAGAGAAGAAAATCATTTAAACTTACTTGGTGAAATCGTATAAATTCTCGAACGCGTAGAATTTGTGTGTGATATCTGGCGGTGCCAGAATATAATTGTTGGATAATTGCCGAAACGTTACCGAATATACTGGCGTACATGAGAGCTGCAGAGAAAATTCAATTGGTTCACATATAAAATTGAATTATTTTGCACATTTTTCGGTATATTGGAAAATGGAGCAACTTACATCCAACTAACATTACACAGATGGTAAATATCTTTTCGAAATCTGTATTTGGTGCCACGTTACCAAAGCCGACCGATGTTAACGATGTAAATGTAAAATAAAGTGCCGTTATGTATCGTGACTGTAGGTCATTTCATCCACAAAATATAGAAAAATGTCCAGCCAAAACAACGTGTGGTCGACGACAAATGAAATGAAGTGAAAGAAAAACTTTGATTTCTATCGAAAGTAAGCATCAATTAAACATCTAATCTACAGATGATCACAGTTTATCTGCTTTTAAAGGCATTTGTCAGAGTAATCTTCATCTAAGTGGACTTCAACATGTTGTTTGCATTACGTGTTGATTTTCAAGTACCATTTGATATTTTTTTTGCCGACAAACAGGCAAATATTCATTTACGGATCTAGAATTTTGAATATACACGAGTGTGTAAATACAACGTAAAAAAATGACTCTCGATGAAAAAAGACGTTCAACATTTATCAATTTGTACTGGCCTCATGTATTTCTAGTGAATAGATTGGGCCACAGCTATAGCAGTGCTATTTTCACAGCTCCTATTCATGGGTGTTATTTGTGAATAACGCATACGGACAGCGATTTTATGATACAATTTCGGACAATAGACCTAAAAAAGTTGAAAATACTAAAATCAATTGTTCTATTTAAATTTTGAACATTTCCTATTATGAATAGGAGCTGTGAAAATAGCACTGCTTTAGCTGTAGCCCAATCTATTCACTGTGTATTTCACGTTTATGTAAAGATGTCATCGAGCAACAAAAAAAAAATCCAATTGTTTGACTACGAATATCGTTCAGAAAACCTTATTCCACTAAAATAGTAAATTAAGGTATAAAAATGATGGATATGTGTTGTTAAAAAGATACTTGATTTGTCAAACATTTGGTCAGCAAATAAAGATCACTTTTAAAAGCAAACAAACTGACAGATACATCTTCTGAATTTGTTGTATTTAGCCGTACAAAAGGTATGGGATTTATTTATCGGTTGAAGAATAATTCCAAACACTTACAAATAAAATGGTACAATGAACTAATATACTTATCGACACGATCATTTGAAGTAATAAATAAAATAACGGGCGATATCACATTGATAGGAGAGTCTTGGTTAGGCTTTAAAAATGTACATTAATGCACACACTCTTCTCTTCCTCATTTTTTTTTACATTTTCCATGCAAACCCATTTTGTCCGATAAGCTGTATTTGTGGACATGAAATAATACAACAAAATCACATGAAAGAAAAAAAAAACGTCAAACCAACAACAAAATAAATACAAACTTAAAAAACCATTCAAATCAAATTGAAAAACCATGCGAATAAAAGAAAATCGATTTCTTTTTTCATTAATTGAATAAATAATAAATCCACAAATGTACTCTTTTATCACAAGTTCTAGCCTAAAATTGACAAATTGCGTTTGCATCCCAACGAATAACTTCATATAGGGAATAAGGTACACACATTGTACGATATTATCTATACTCATTGATTCCATAAAGACAATACGGTCAACGACAACCATGAATACCACACAAAACACATATACGGTCACAAAAGGGGGGAAAAATGAAAAGAATGCACTACAAAACACAATGATTATTACAATTTTAATCAAGAAATTAAGTGAATAAAATGAGGGAAAATTGTTAATTTTGTAATGCTCCGAGTGGGTTTGAATAATTGAGATTCAATGGCACAACGCTTGAAAAATGTTTGCATTGTATTTTTTGTGTAGAAATTATTAAATTATTACTGTATGTGGGTTGTATATATGTTTTTGTGTACAGAGAGTTTTTGGTTAACTTGTTTTATGTTATATCCTACGGCGATAAAAGCAAATGACATTTCCCTTATCCTTTTTTGTATAAATTTGGTTTTAGGTGTTTTAATGCCGATCATGAATGCATTAGAAAATTGATTAGCTCTGTTTGTGAGTGAACATTCAATGAAAGATAAAGGAACAAAGGAACAGTTGGGGTTGGTGAGATATATCAACTAGCAATAAACATCACTTATATAAACTTCATGAAGTTCAAACGTGCATTTTGCATTCAAACGATTTCGGCTTACTTTTATCGATGGTCCACCTGTATTATTTGGTAAATAGTATTCATGTGTATCGTTAGCCAAAATGTCTAACCAGCCTATTTTCGATTTTAACACTGGCCGTTCAGCTTTTCCGATCGCATACCTAGTATAATTGAAAAAGTATTTTATGTTTGTTTGTATTTTTTTAAATTTATAATAATCATTGATGAAATTAAGAATTTATCAAACGCTGACATTTAAACGAAAATACAAAAAAAGAAGAAATAATACATACCATATACAAGCCAGCCAATGCGCGATTAATGCAAATGTTGCCATTAACAAAATTAGCACGGCCGTACCATATTCAGAATAACGATCGATTTTTCGAGCGACACGTACTAATCGTAGAAGACGAGCTGTTTTCAACAATCCGATTAATGTTGTTGTCTTTTTTACCCAGCGATATAGAGCAGAAAACAAAGAAAATGTTACACAAATAAATACCATTTTTTTGGGGGGGAAAACTTTTTTTGAATCTCCATTTATTAAAAAAAATATATATACAAATTAAATGTACAGGGTTTAACTGAAAAAAGAAACAAAGGTGAATAAAGGGCATTAAGGTGTAAGTGATAAGTTGGTACAGGATGCCAAGCTAAGCTAATGTTTTGAGAAATATTGAATAAACGTGAAATCAATGAACTGAAATTGATCTATCATATCGATACCATCATTGTTGTCTATTGTGTGTGTATTTGTGTGTGTGTGTGTGTTCGAGCATTGGTACATAGAGACCGAAATTGTATATAAACGATCTGCTCGTGCTGCTAACGAACAGTTTAAGTTTTGTGTGTGATATATGATGACAGTTTGAATTCAAAGCAATCAAGATTGATGTGTGTACAAGATCTTTTCGGTCGATTCAACAAATATACATTCTTGGTGACTGTAATTGATTGATTGTGTTAAAAAAATATTATTTTATTCAATCAAATCTCTTTCGAACAGCTAGCATTATATCCGTTTCACGCAAACATGTATAGAATTTTAATTGCCTGTGTACTTGTCAGTCAAGTAAGAATCATTTTTAAAAAATAATGAGATTCATGTGTTAAGACAGCGTATTTCTTTAGGTCCAAAGTCGACCATTTGGAATGTTCTTCGTTGGAAGTAGTGTTTCCCCGATATTTCCATGGCTATCTCAACCACTTCGGGCGGCTGGTATATTTCAAACAATAGGCATACACAAAAACGCATACTCTCCATTCAGCCAATACCTTAGTTCGGGTAATACACTGCCTCCCAGAATTTATGGAAGATTAGAGACACACTTTCCTCTCGATGTTCAACCATTGTATGGATCACCACCATTCATACCATCAAATGCATTCAATTTAAATGGCCAACGCAACGGGTTTGAACCACCGAAGTACGAATTAGTACCATATGCTGAAATGCCGGCACCACTTTACCGACCCCAAATACACGCAACTCCAACATCAAATACGTTTATCACAGCAAATGGACTAATAAATAGATTTGAATCATCCGATTATCGTCCATCCGCACCGAATTATAATGTAACAAGCCAAAGTCCATTCCAACTACAAACAGGTTAAAGTATTTACCATTGTGAGTTGATGGTAGGCATTTTAATTAAACTTTTATTTAAAAATAAAATTAAAGCAGACGAAGGTGGACAATTGCCAGTGGTGCCATTTGTAACTAGTGTTTTGCCGTTAAATCCATACATAAGCTCGGCAGGCACAACTCATTTGCCTCCAGGTAATCAAAGTGCTACCATAAATAAAGTTATTTTGTTGAATTATTCTTCTTTCATTATTCAAACGGTTCCAAAGTAACGGCCAGTCAAGAAGATTTAACACAAAAAGTGGACACTACAATTTTGGAAACAAATCCAAATGAACTTATCACTCAAAATGATTCAACACAACTGCCAACAGTGGTAAGCACAAGTGCATACATTGTGAAAATGTTATACGTTTAAATAAATTAATTGTAGATAGCGGACGGTACACAGACAATACAAGAAAAAACTAGCATAACAAGCGAGGCTACAACAATTGAATCTACATCACCATTATCAACAATATTGCAGTTGAGTGAGTCAACATCGGAAACTATTTCTACAGACACTTCTGAAAGTACTGATATCAATAGCAAAACCACAACGGATTCATATTCAACAGAACCGTCATCAACAGAATCATCCACAGATGATGAACTCAATGCAGTTAAACTAAGTAAATGAGGTTTTCTTATAGGTTTTCATACAAAGCAAATTATTAATGAAGTTTAAAAGATAAATATTTATTGCAATTTCATAAGTAACAATTGCATACGTCAGACAAATATTGTGAGCGAATAAATATAAATTCGAACAATACCGTATTGTTGATTACGTATGATCAAATATTTACTTTTTTGCTCAACAATTTTAATTAAAATTTGAATCTTTAGAATAATAAAGACTTATACAGTGATGTTAACATTATCATTAATATGGGTCACGGTGCGATAAGAAGAGCTGACGATCGAAACACATCACGTTCAGTTCCATTGAATTCATGAACATTCTCATTAGCCTTCGAAGAATTGGCTGTGCTTTTTTTGGTGCCGTTTCTTTGTCATTGTTATTTTTTTCATCATATTTATTCAATCCTTCCGCTGTTGTTTGTGTATTGAGTGTTAAATTCGGCTAGTCTATGACACAATCAATATTTGTGTGTGTTTACATGTTTGTAGACATTTCATGCAATGCAAAATAATTGGGCATCACGCTTTCATACGTTTTAAGTACAGTTCATGATGAAATGAAATCCACATTAAAAGCAGTAGCTCACAAAATTGACTGGGGCATCAAATTAGGCAAACGAATCAAAAGGTATAAAGTAAAAGGTTAAATATACAGCAGCGTATATTGAATGAAATGGTATCATTCGTCAATCAATGTAATAATTCTACTCTTCTTTTTTGGCATATAAACATTTTTGATTGAACACTGGCTCTAAGTTGAAGTTGTAGTTTTTGTAAACGTTGAAGACCGTATCATACAAGTATGTATAATGTTGTCATCATAAATTTTGGTAAAAGTTTTTTTTTCGTTGTTTAATGTTCCGGTCACTTCTTTTTTTACTTAGATGTTATGGCCGTCTCTTGTTATTCCAATATTTGATGTGCGCCGATTTGTATGTACATCGTGTTTTGAAAATTATCAAAAATGGTCATGCTGTTTTGTTCGCAGTAGGCCATTACATATTTCAATATAAACTTAATGGTCTTTCACAGACTTGTGATAATTTTTGTATAATAATTTTAGTTTGCCTGGTGTAGAAAACATACATATGTGCATGTAATTTGCTTGATTTACGCTGTTTTCTTTCATTCGTACACAGTATTATCATTGGATGTGGCCAAGTGTTGCGTTTATTATTAGTAAGTGATACAAGAGAGATTTAAATGCGGAAATCGATAAGCTCAAGATAATTTTCCAATTAAATGCTTCTCTTTCAAAACTAAGTCACCTGCCAACACATACCAAAATAAATTTCGAACATATATATCGTGTCAAATTGGTGGTTTGCAATTTGGGTCCCAATTATTCAGCGAGAAACTTTTCTTTTCCAAAAAGTTGGAGATAAGCGAGAATTCAAGACGAAAATTGCATATCAATGAATTGAATCCCATTTTTTGATTACCATTCGCTTGGTCTTGACGTAGTTTTAAACGCTATTTTCTTTAGAAATTCCGCATAAAATACCTTCGTGGAGAAGTTTGCAATTTTTTTTTTCAATTCTTCGAGACTTTTTCGTTATAAAAACACCACTTTTAGTTTAAACCTTTTAGTTTTATATCTGTAGATAACTGCATAGATAAATATGCGACACGGTACTAACATTATATAATTCAAATATATGTTACGCGCTATGGGCGTAAAGCTTTAGCGATAAAAAAAAGATTCATTGAAATTGATGGAATGCCAAGTGTTGAAAGACTATATTCAATTGAGTATTTGGAATTTCGAACGAAAAACATGAACAAAAAAACTGAATAATTTAACATAAAAAGTCAACAAACTGGGTGGTGCTGCTGGGATATTGGTGCAATAATTTAAATTGTTCTGAGTGCAGAAGAAGTATAATTGAGTTTAATGTATTCGGATATTTTTCAAGTACCTCGTCTTTATCCAGGCCAAGCTGCAAAAAAACACGGGTTATTTAGTTATTCAAACACACCACTTTTTTTTATTAGAAATGCAATTTTTTTAAACTAAACGGAACATTCAGAGGCATGCATCCTTATACGTCGCGGATAGGAATTTAGCGTATCCATATAAGCCAAAAAAATGTTAATAATTCAACAAAATATTATATATTTTGTAAGTTTTCAATTCTATCAAATGAAATTCACCGAGAACTTTAATTTATTTCAATAATGTTATTGAAGACAATAACATATAGCAGATATTAAAAGGATGCGTTTATTCAAACTCGAGCAGGGAAATATTTAATAAAAAAAAAGTAATGATAAAACATTTATTTTGAATCGATTTTTACAATGATTGAAATCAAATTAAACCACACAAAACAAACAATACTTATTCAAATTGGCTGTCCTGCTGCCATGGCAGCACTTAAAATGCATTTGAATGAAATGCAATCAAAACCAAAGCCATTTTTGAATGGTTACCGATTGATTTGCATGAAGAACGATTTCAATCTTTGAAATAATGATTCTATCGGGGATAATTTACAATTGCATCATTAGAGGCTTTAGTGCGGTGGGCCATAATGTAGTGCATCTGGGTTTCTCTAAAGCTAAGTACTAACATTCAATTTAACTATTCAATTTCATTAATATAAAAGAATTGCTCTTTTAAGGCATCCTTTTAAGACATGCTTTTTTGTACTGTGATCCCACTCACATGATTATATGAGTGAAAAAGTGGCGTATTCATAAAATACGTTCGAAGTGTTTCCGGAAAAATACAAGAAGATTAAAGAAGATAAAGAAAATCACATAATATATAAATATATTATGCTCTTCTGTTATATGAGAGTATATTAAACAATGTTGGTTTAAAATTTTACTTCGACAAAATGCGTACACTTCATTTCAAATGTTTTATGAATACATGTGCCCCAATTCAATCACAATTACATAAAGTTTTGTGCTTCGTGGGTGAAGCTTGTTTTTTTGTTGTTAAAAAAAATATTCATCTATTTTGGGATGCTATTGAATTTAGTATGAATGGAAATAAAATGAAAGATCTATTCAACAGTCGAAAAACTGTAAAAGAAACCACAAACTACTGCGGTAGAAACACACAAATGAATGAATGTATATTACTTGCTTGAATGACAACTATGGAACAAAAAACAAAGAAAATATTTCACTGCACAGTTTTGTTTTAAAAAGAACTTTCAATTTTGGATTCTATGTATTTTGGCCTTGTTTCAATGAACAAATATAATTCACAATGAATGGAAGAGCTGTGTGTGCATTCTTACCTCATCCGTGTCACTGTTGACCAACAACAAATCAAACGGTACGGCTGCCACTAAGTCTATGAGAAACCAACCGCTTAAATAGTGAACAGCAATGCGACCAGGGTGTGAAACAACCTCATCTTGACCATTAACAAACGTTGTGCGAAAGTTTATTAGAATATCTATCACAAATGTTACATCAACTGCAATGAAAAAAAAATCCGAAATAGAACTTTCAAATGATAAACATTTAATAAACGAATAAAAATCATGAAAACAACTCAAATATGAATCGTTGCGGCGAAAGAGTAGCTCTTATTTTTCTCCAAATAATACTGCAACATAAAGTTTTTTATGAATAGTATTATAAACAAATAAACCGTTTGAAAAAAACTTCACGTTGCAGTATTATTTGGAGAAAAATAAGAGCTACTGTTTCGCCGCAACGATTCATATATTCATCAAGTTGTATTTCAACGTAAACTAGTCTACCAATGGAATAATTAACAAAATGGATTTTTTTTGGTATGAAAATGTAGCTATTTCAATCGTTCGTCTATTTTGCGAAATGTATAACTTTGACTGTGAAGCAATCTTTAATTTAAAACATAATTTTACGCTGGTTAATCAGAGCTAGCCAGTCGACTGACTTCTAACGAACACATTCTCACGGGGGTATTTTTCAGCACTCATATATCTACGAATTATTCGGTTTGTGGTCATAAAGTGTATGCTGATCTTATTCCCTGCACATATTAGCCTAATTAAAATAATCAAATAGTTTATATGGTGATGAAAAAGCGTGAAAAACGTTTCAATGAGAAAAATACCGTAAAAATATTCATTAATTACAGATGATTCGTTTTTATATGAATTTGACCTAACTGTATTTTCATGCTTTATCGATGTGCAGGAAAAAAAGTTCCTCGACAATTTTTCTATATATGAAAACTTAAAATTCCAACATTCTTTTACATCAAATTTCATGAGCATTTGCACATATAACAATTTATGGAGGAAAAATGTTGTATTTTTCACACTGGAGTTGCGCGCAATGCTTTTATTTTCAATGTGCACACATTTACATAGAAGTTTGACAGTTGTCGAAAAATTCGAAACTGATATTTGAAATGTAAAATTTCTATGTAAATGTGTGTGCACATCGAAAATAAAAGCATTGTGTGCATCGCACACAGTTTGTGAGTGCAGTGTCTACTATGTGCACGCACCTCCAGTGTGAAAAATTCAACTCTGTGCATGAATCCAGGGAATACTTTTAAATTGATTTATCCGCATAGATGAATCCATGCAATGCTATATAAAAAATTATAAAATACTATTGTTGAGAGATAACTGATTTGAAAAATACTTGCAACCGCAAATGTGAACTAGATATAGCAATGTATCTTAGGTGCATGTCGCTGACCCCCCAGTTTTAGTGCTATGCTTTTAGCGCTCATTTGGTGCTGCCAAACCCACGTCTCTGTTTATTTTTATAAATCCATGAGAATATTTCAAACTCAAGAGCAACTAAGTAAGAATATTGAAATTTTAAATCATGGAACATAACTTCCATCAAAACTCACTGTTGCGTTTAATTACGTACAAATGTGCAGATCAAAGAAAATATAAATATTTGATTCACACGAAAAATATTAAATTTGGAGCACACCATTTTGAGAATCACGCAATGTTCAATCAAATTTATGAAGCATATATGAATACACGCCACTTGACCAGAATGGTATCGAACACTTTTGAACACATACATTAATTTACCTTTGATTGTATTTTACAAAATTAAACATATGTCATTTCAATGTGGTTATTAAATGGTGTTAAACAATGAAGTCTAACCAAAATTATCATGTTTATTGGTCAAAAGATCAAAAATAATCTGAAAATTGATTAAATAACCGTGTTCAATCATGGCCAACATCAAAGATACCATACTCCCCTAATTTCGGGTCGAGAAATCCAAATTCGATAATAAAATTTACAAATTTTGACATCCCCCATACAAACTTTTCAAAAATAAATTTTTCATGCACTATAAGAACATGATGGAGTGGACCAATTTGGTCCAAAATCTAATGGTATCTATTCCTCAATATTCGATCAATGATCATTGATTTTTTACCATTACTTTCTTTAAATTTATTAATTCGATAAAACGAAAGTCTTTGTAATGACCGATGCCATTCTAGGCCCTGAACCATTCTTAATAGAATATTCTCGGGTCAAATAACTGAACAAAGCAATGTTGCAACTTGGCTCAAATAACTGAACTTTTCCAACAAGATATTTGGATGGTCATTGGCCTACTAATGTTCGAGGCTGAATGCAATTAGAAGCAGTTTCACGGGATAGAGATCCTACCCGATGATCCATGTATGGATCGATGATTATTGAAAATTTTTATGCACTCATAGTAGCATTGAATAAACGGAGACGTGGGTTCGGCAGCACCAAATGAGCACTAAAAGCCATGGGGTCAATCACGAGATTCTAGTGAATCTAGTTTTTGATAAGATTTCACTAGAAAACTAGAAAATTCTAGTGCTTGAAGTTGGCTCTCAGTAGTTTTTCATATAAATTATATGGCCTTTGGTGTGATGTTGGCTTCGTTTGTGACGTCATTCTTCGCACTAGATTTACTAGTTTTTCTAGTATTCACTAGCGTGATTCACCCCATGCTAAAAGCACCAATCATTTTTAGCGTAGCACTAAAACTGGGGGGCCCGCGACATGCACCTATGTATCTTTAGAATATTCAAAAATCCATTTGGATCTGGACCCAATAAATTTCACAAAACCAAGATGCACAAAAATCTTTATCTGATAAATCAAACACAGTGGAAAGGTCCATCTAATGGTATACCCTGCCGAAATTCAGATTTAAAATTACCTCTTCGAAAAAATGCAAATTTCTAAGGGGAGTGTTCGAAGCTGAAGCCAAAGCTCATAAGCTGCTATTTAGTATGCTCCACTTTCGGTGTGTCATTTATAATTCGCATAATGCATGTCATCAATTTAAATTGTTTGCAACGACTTTGATGATTGAATTGCATTAAGATTTATAGTTTCAACATATGTACTTACCAATTAAATCAATTATCACAATTGGGTCTGTGTTTATATATCTATTTGATTTTTTCTGATTGTATTCAACTTCGCCTAGTAAAAATGCAGCTACGAATGGTGTAACAATGGCCGTGTATATAACCAAAATTAGAATGATCCAGTCCCATACTGCTTTAAATAGTGAGTAGTGTAAAATGGTCCATCGATGAACACGTGGACTTTGCAATTTATATTCTGGAAGTACATCAGCTCCAAGAGAAAGAACCTGAAAATAGAACGTACATTGTTATTGAATATTTTTATAAATGAAGAGTGAGAAAAAAATCAAAATATCAATTTACAGGTATTCTTTGAACAAGAATATAATTATTTTTTATTAGTAACATTTTTCACGAAATAACATGGATAGTTCATGTAGCTGCTACAATAACATAAAAGCTGCAGGAGGTTTTGAGCATTTTTTACTATTGCTGTTGACCAACCAGCAATTTAATTACGAGTTTCCTAGAAATATCTTTGAAGCAGCAGAAGAATTATTCTCCAACATTTTAAATTAATATGAACAGTTTGAATTACAGATATAGAACATTTTAAAATATTGCTTTATAATGGCTTCTATTGAATAAATATTTCCATTTTACTGGGTGAGAACAAATGAGTTGCCAGCTTAAAAGCGGCGATATTGAATTGCAACGAGCCAACAACAATGCCAACGACATTTATAGATTCTGCTGCATGTGGAGAGATATTTTTGTGTTTTCAGCATAATGATTCTATTGAAACTCAATTGCATGTTCAAAATCCCATTTCACAAAATTTTTATGTTAATGTTTTCAGCGAATTCAAATTTTAATTTGAAAAATTCATGACTTTTAATCTCTATCAACAATAAATTCAAATTAAATACATACACTGTTTATTATTATGGAAACGATTAATGGATTGCTTTAGTCAAGTTAAAAAAGTACGTCCAGTCAAGTGAAAACTACTTTAAAAAGATGTGCAACATGTAGCTAGGTTATTGTTTTTCGTATGTTCTTCGACAAAAAATTCTTATCAAATGATATTATAATAAAATAACCTCAAGCAATAAGCTATATATTACAGTTTATTCGCGTTATTTTTAATGTCAGAGAACTATAAAGTATAAAAATGTAACCGCTAAAAATAAATTTGCCCTATGTGGTTTTACACTCCAAACAACATGCCGAGAAAGGAAGAGTTTTTTTATAATTTCATACAGACAACACACACGAAATCGGCCAAAAAACTTTCAATTTCAGCTGTACAATGAGTAGGGGTGTATGTTTTCATTACACTGGAGACCTTTATTTTTTCTACGGAATAATAAAAGTGTTGAAAACATGGAAGACCCTTATCAACTATAAAATTAAAATATTTGACACCAATCATCTCCGTTTTGTATCAAATACAAACGCTAATTTTCAAAAGGATACAATTTATTTCTTAGCATATGTATTGACACCAAAAATATTCGATGATTCTTCGAAATCTGAGATATTCTTGCCATTCACCAGAAGGCAAACCTATACAGTCGAGAATTAATTTTATTTTTTCAGATAACGTATATTTTAAATTTCAGTTGTTATTGTCAACTAGATAATTAAGCAACGAAGTAACCTCGGAATAAGTAAAGATTTTCACCCACATTATATGTTTACTTCTCGAACATCATAGTTCAGCTTAAAAGTTTATATCATTTTTGTTAAAATTACAAAAAATAGATACCTCTTGTCCCAAGTTTTTTGTTGATTTTCCACCGCTGAGTCCATTTAAATTCAAATTCGGATTTGTCGACACATGATTTTCGATTATTGTTCTATTTTTTGAATCACTACTTAATCGAACACTAGACCATTTTTCAACAACCTAAAAAAATGTATAACGGTTGTATCACAATACAACGAAACATCAGAAGTCATTGGAAATGGGATTTTATTTTTTTCATTTGTCGTGTATACCCTTTGCATGCACAAACAGCCACATTATAATTTGATTGATTCTGGCATGCACATTGCACACGATGTTCTCTTTAACACTACACTACGTTACAACCATATTCAACACAATCAAAGTTGTCAACGAACTGAACCGTTCGTTCTCTGTTCACTCGAAATTCGTTTGGGTTTGTTTATGTTCAAACGACCACATCCATCTCCCCCATTACAGCTCTGAACACTGCATTTTTTACCATGGGCTTCTTTTTTTTCTCACACATTTTTTGTTGAATTATTTATTATTGGAATTTATTCATGTGGTTTGAAATATTTCATTATACTTTTCATAGGATTTGAACTTATTGCCGTTTTTTTCGATTGCAATAAATCTTTCCCTTTTTTGTCACAATCGCTACTAATTATATAGGAAAGAGTAATGTTTATTTTGAAGGGTCTCGAAATGCTGTTCATTTGTTTTTATCAATCGTCTATTTTATTATTTATTTATAGCATTTTCATTGAACTCTTACTTGCTTTTGATTATCGAATAAATTGGTCAAGGTCAATTGAATTGAAATTAATTATTTTATTTGGCGCCTTGAGCCGTGCTTCAATTTTTCCAACATTTTACACCGCATGGCGAAAATTGTTGAAATAATCCGGTCATTTTTGTCTGCTTCTGTGTCATTTCACATTTCTACCAATTTCTACTTATATGGGAAATTTCCAAATGGAATAAAGGTAAAATACTTATATTTCTTCATTGAATTTACAGTCGCCGCCGAAAAGTTTAATAACATTCATAAAATTTATGGTGTGATATAGAAATTTTAATGGATTTTCGAGTCAAATAACATAAATGATCACAATATAGACATTCGATTTCGCAAAATGGTCGATCGACACAGGAAGCAGATGTCAAGATATCATTCGACATTTGGCGAAGATGTGGTCGCTTGAACATGCATTTTTTTGTGTTCAGTGCTCTAATATGGGTATTTGCACAAATAAATCTGACAAATACATCAGAGATTAGAGCTATGTTCGTTGATTGCGTCAAATTATTATTAAGGGTGCAATAAATCTCATAAAATAATCGTAGCGTATGTTCACACATTATGGAAATCAATATCGATTTTGTGCTGCTGAATAAATTGATCGGATTTTATGCTGTATCATTTAAATATATATTGCTTCAGAGTGTTGTTGACAGAGGCATGTACTTTTCCCGCATATAAATTTTTGGATTTGGTTTGAATTAAGCAACTAAATTGAAATTTTACCCAATTATTGCATGCTTGTGTGCTTTAACACTTGAAATATGAAATGGAATTTTATTAGGTAAACAAACAACTCTCTCTTTAAGAATTGTTTTGTGCTCGCTATAAAATATTGAATGCATCACATTCATTCGTATGCTATTTTCCATAGTTATCAATATATTTCCAGGTTTTGGAACATTTTATATTTTTATCATAACATAAAGGGTGTTTTTTAAGAATTTTGTTTCTTATAGTACATTGAAATAAAACCCTTGTGGAAAATTACTGACTAGTCAGTTAACTAATTTGGGACGTTTTTGCCTAAATCCATTTGAGATTGAAGTTGTTTTAAGTTGATTTGTCTGATTTTTCAGTCAATCCTAGTCAGGGCTGTAATTTTCACTCTGTCAGTGTGCGCACATAGCAGTGTGTACAACTGTACACTCACATTCCATGTGCGACGCACACTTAGCCACAAGTTCGACAGTTTTGACCGTTGTTCAAAAATTGTAAACCATCCTTTGAGATGTCAAACTTTTGTTCAAGTGTGCGTCGAACATTGAAAATACAAGCATTTTATGCGTCGCACATGGAATGTGAGGGTACACACTACTATGTGCGCACAGTATATCGCAGTTGACTATAGACAAAACCGTCCCAAATTAGTCATCTGTTTAAAATGAGATACACAGACGATTAAAGTCGACTGGGTAGACGCTAGGGGAAATGATCTATTCGCGAATGGACAAAATTTATTAGTTGTATGATAAAGTCGACATTTTGGTAAAATAATTCAAGAAATTCGCATACAATTCGCAAGCTAATCGCAAAAAGTTATCACAATCAAACTATATAATATACGCTTGCAAACGAACCAAGTGAATAGCGGCGACGCAAGAAAAAGAAGTGAGTGAATAGCGGCAACGGATAACATTTTTTCTTTCGTTCGTTGTCGCTATTCACTCATTTCGTTTTCGTGCGTCGCCGCTATTCACTTGGCTCGTTTACAAGCGTTCACAATTTGATACATACAAAACATACAAATTTTACGAATTGTCTCACGTTCATAGCGTTTTGTATGCGAAATGTTCTTTAAATCACAACTTTACTGGCCCATCGCTTACAAATCATTTCGCATAAAATTCGCAAAATATCGAATAATTCGCTATTTTCTGATCGAGATCCGATCCCCTGGGGTAGACGACTTCAGTTAACAAAATTCAATTTCAGTCGATTTCAGCTAACCAGTCAGTCAGTCACTTTTTTTTCACACGGGAACAAATAGCTTAGGTGAAGGAAAGAGTCTGGGCATAGGTTCTGACATAGTTCGCATAGGTCGCATTGATCCTCCCCTAGCGTCCGAGGACCCCCTCTATTTTGAGAAAATTCTCGATTTTCCTAGGGTTTTTCACAAGGAATAAAATTATTCCATTTTGCTAGGGATTTTCGAGGCTGAGCTCTTGAACTATACCTCCCCATCAAAGACATACTATACAGAGAAAAATGTATTCAATTTTGCTAGAGATTTTCATAGTTTCAAAAATAATTCAGTTTTGCTCGGATTTTTGAGTTTTACAGAGCGGGGACCCCCCGACAATTTTCGGACGTGAACCGCTCCTAAATTTACAATTGTCAGAACCTATGAGTCTGGGAGTCATCTACACCTGAAAATCCTTAAATCGGGGTAGTTAGTAAATTTTGGTGACAAAAATTGATATTATCGGATGATACCCACTAAAACCAACTGGGGTGTATTTTTTTAAATGTCTTGTTCCATCATAAATTGGTATAGATTGGGTTACCATTTGCAATCAACCCCTTGAATTCGAATCAATACTTCTTTTATTTCAATTTAAAGTATAAAAAAAACACCCTCTAGCTAATTACCATATTGCACTGAATATACGCGTATTTTGCATTTTAATGTGGTGTCAAGAGAATAAAGATGTGTACAAGTAGAACGATATACAATTCTGATTATAATATTTGATCCGAAATATAATTAAAAGTATATAATATATGTGCACGCCAAATCATTCAATTCAAATGGATGTTATATTAGATATACACCCTAATCAAATATAGACATTCAAATTTGGAATTTCATTGGAATTGGAATAGTTGAAATTCGTAAACAAAATGTTAGTTTTTCGAAACAAGTATCCCGGAAGATGTACCAAAAATGTTGTTGTTTTATCTGTTTAAAACAAATTTACAACAGTAATAAATAAATGTAAATGTGAAGTGTGAACATAGAATGACCAACGCGAGTAAACTACACTATGCGACATGTATTCCACAGCTGATACGGGTTGGTCATTCTTTGTCCATTTGCATTCATGTATTTGTGAATGTCATCGTTTTTAGTTTTAGAAAATGTGGAAATCGTCTATTGCATTAAATTGCATTTCGAAATCGTTCATTTTATTTTAAAACTAAAAAGATGAGAAGAGAAGGGATAATTTTTATTTTATAATCATCGAAATAATGTGAACCTTTAAGCTGTTCGGAACGGATATATTACGATGTTCTTGTCCAAGCGTCTTAGATGGACGCACAAAACTGCGACTTGTTGTTGAATGCAGCCCGAAACCAGAGACTGCATTAAAATCGTAATCGTTTGGATAGATGGTAGGCATTGAATTTTCGAATTTCAATTGATCGGATGCATTTTCTTCCGATTTTGGCATGTTAATTGCATTTGAATCTGTATTCACATCTTCCATTGTATGGAATGTCGTGTGTTATGTTATTTTTTGTTATGTTTCACGATTGTTTTGTTGCTGGTATGCTTCAAAACTAATTCAATTCGTTTCAATGATAGATGGTGCATATCAAATTTGAAAACCATTCATTGGAACTGCGTCTAGTTGATATCGATGATTTGTAATGAGTGACTAAAATCATCTCAATCATTGTACAATCGCAGGTTATGACAGTGAAAATGAAAAAGATCGGACGCGAAGATGATTGTTTCTATGATAAAGTGACGCTTTGCATTGTTGCTTGATTTCAATTATTTTCTTTGTTGTTTTCTGTTCTACTTGGTCAGAGTGTGTCTCCTTAAAAGTGAATGAAATGCGCTCTGAAACAAAAGAAATGGGGCCGATTGAAAAATTATGATAATATTTTCTGCTACTGAAAATGCAATCAGATTACAGCAATGTTTTAACGTTGAACAAATTTATTTTCTATTTCACATTTCAAAATGAAATTGAAAATTTGTCTTCTTTCGCAAGATGCTTGCAATTTAATGTAGTAAATACTCTAGCAAATTGCAAGGTAAATTGAAATATACAAATGTATATGTAAGTATCATAGCTTGAAATGATTTTCCGTTTGAACATTGCATTCGAATTTTCTGAAAGAGATTTCAAATAAGACATCATAGCATACGAGACTTGAACACACGTGTCTAAGAGTGAATTCGAGAAATTTGCTTGTCATTTGAAATAAAAACTCCGTTTTTGTATTTGTCTATCGGTATTTTACAGGACAAAATGTTCATACGCTGTTTAACTTGCTACGACGTTGATATATTCGTTGTAAATATCATTTATAGATATATGCATTTGTATGTATCGATTTCAGTACTAGACATATAGTTGAAGGCACTGAATCGATCGGTTTTGAAGCGTTCATTTAATGTTCACGGTTTTATTATCATTCG